TTTTTTTGCATAATATGGGTTAATAATATGGCTTTAATATAACCCAGATTCAATTTGTTAAAAAATGTGTTGCATATTGACATTTTGAAAACAGGCTGTCATGTTGAAATTAAAATGGCTGCAGGCCCGAAGTGGTTGCTACATATAGCAATTTGAAACATTACATAAACGCAACAGTTTAGCTTTTGCTTTAATTTCTCATAAGCTGCAACCACAGATCTAAGACTTTTTCTAGGTACACAACAAGCCTACATCTCTCATATATTATTTACAAATCTTTCTAATACTGTGTTACTGAGCACTTCTCCAATATATTATTATGCTGATTAGACAGCATGAGTACTGCAAAGTTGTACTGTAGGTTGGCCAGATATAAAGGCACTTTAAAATATGTTGTTTTAGACATTCAGGCTTAAGGTATGTCCACCAGAGCTGTTGCCCATTAAATAAATGTAAATTTTTCTACCATATCCTATTCAAAAGAAGGCAAAACGAAACAAATGAGCACAAGGAAGCCGAGAAGGAAAGAGTCAAAGTGGGATGCCATTGACTAAGTTATTTATTGCTAGCACTTTTCTATCAGCTGCCATTAGACAGACTTTACAGTGTTTTCTGACATTCAGGGTTCCTGTAGGCTTGGGACATAAAGGTGCTTTTTCAGATGACTGACTGTTAAAAGTATCTGTCTTTGTCTGGCAATAGCTGTATTTTGTCCCTTCCCTCAGCCTTGGGTCTATACTTTCTTTAAAGACACGTTTTATAATCATTTGTTCCATAATCCTGTGCAAAAAGTTTCTGAGGTGAAGAGAAATATCTAAATGTTTTAAAGGTGAGCAGATATCTTTCTTTTTGACCTACATTTAAAAGGTTTACTCACATTTCATGCAAAGGAGAAAAAAGAAAACAGTGTTGATTTTGTAAGATGCAGTGGCGCTAATATGTGGCCACATCCATTCTACATATTTCTTGTCAAGACGAACAATCCATTAACTATATAAAGAAATACGCAGTCACAGAGTGGCGTTTAGGATGGCACTTCATCGTCCATTAAAGGTAATGCATTTTCTTTTTATATAGAGTTGGCTCTGAAAACCCTTTTTGTGTAAAGAAAGGTACATTTTAGGATTGCACAGCAGCTTTGAAAAGCAATGAAAAGGCAAACTGCAATAAGTTTTATGTTTTTCTCAGCGTAAAATGAGATGGTTACTTTAAACTGAAGTATTATAGTTACCGTAGTGGTTAGAGTTATTGTAAAACTAGATACAGATCTGATATTGATTTCCTCTTACTGCCTATACGTGCTTATTTTTGCAACCGTCCTTGTTAAACCAAGCTAAGTGAAACATACAGCAAATGTAGTATTTCATGAAGAACTGTTAACCAGACAGAATTCGAGTTATGAGGAAACGCTGCTAATCAAACCTGCGATAGGTGCTCCATCCTTTGAATAGCCATCATTTTTCTTTCTCCGCTTCTCTTCCTCACCGTTTGGAAGCACCTGCTCTGAATCCTAAATGTGCTTACACCTCCTTACTGCTTTACCTAATAGCCTCCCTGATTGCTCTGTTGCCCTGCAAATCTAATTTTATTACTTTAAGCAACAAATCAGCCAATAGAGTCATAACTCGTTCGCACCAGGAAAATTGCCTTGGGTTTGACAAACTAGTTTTAAATGGTTACAATATAATTAGATTTTCCCCATAACTGCTTTTCTGTCTAATGATTTAACAAACACCTTTATACAAAAAAAATAAAAAAATAACAGAATAGAGCACAGTGACATGTTGGGAAAGCAACCTCTAAATTGTTGATCAGGGAAAATAAATGCTGTTACAGCTATTCACAGCCAGATTTATAGCTGCTACTTTTGTTGGTTTCTGCTAACAACTTCCGGGATCAACTTGCGGAGAGAATACAAGGAGAGAGGGAGAGTTGGGGATGTAAAAGTTGTCCCCACACCCCACCTCTTACCATTCTAAACAAAACGCAGTCTATTTTGGATTACTTCAAATGCTTAGGACATATGGGATCTCTCTGGGATCTGAGTTTGTTCTGATATATGAGACGTGCTTTCTTGAACTTCTTTTTATATGCATTTGGAAGAATTACATTAGAAAAGATGAAAACAGCAAAAATTCGATTCAACTTACTAAATATCACCATAAGGTTATTTATGATTTCTTGAGATGATTCTCTTGACTTCTTTTAAAAAGAGTACACTCCAAAGACTGACACCAAAACTTATACGTTTTTTGTTGTGAACATTTACCTTGAAGGACTGATCAGCTGTTTCCNCTGGCCTCCTTTCAAATGAAAAAGGGCTATGTCAACACAACTATTAATCATATATGCATACATTGACTTACATCCACTTTCACTTCTAAGCATCAGCATTGCTTCCTTTCTTTTCTTCTCAAATACACCCCAGTAAAGGTTGTAGTCATAATAATGGGGAGAAGAAAAGAAATTAATCTCTTAAACTGTTTTTCTTGCGATTATCCGCTCTGCTTGTCTCATTCTGTCCGAATCCCCTAGGAAATCTGACTGACTGCTAAGCCATGGGAATAAAGATGTTAGCGGCTAGCTCCACAGAAATGCCAAGAGTACTGAGAGATTTGAAGTTAAGAGCTTAAAAGCTTTGCTGGCGGGGGACTGATTTCACATGCAACTCAATGGCAGCCAATAACCCCAAAAATAGAATTTGGAAATGGACATTGTGGCACTAACAGAAATCCTATATATATTCTGGATTGAGGGCATCATTACAAGAGGTCTCCAACTGAGAGGCGGCAGGAATCCACAATCTGCACAACAGTATTTATGAGATATGGATGAGAACCACTGAATTTTAACTATAGTGTAATAATATAAACAGGGGCGGGGGTTACCATTAGGCAATACTAGGCAATTGCCTAGGGCTCCAAGCTCCTGGGAGCCCCATAAAACTCTGTTTACATGTATGA